GTTATTTGAACACTTTTCTCTCTGGCTCAAGGGCCCCTCACTGGCTAGGATAGTTTCACAAAGAGTTCCTTAACTCTAAATCAGAGAGAAAAGAAAAGGAAGAAAGGGAGAAAATCAAGTACACAAACAGACATATAGACACATAGACAGACAGACACACACACACTTTTGCATACTTACACACATACACATATACCTACACACATATGTATGTACATACATACAGACAGACATATACATGTATACATTTGGTGGATGGGGCAGAGCCCCAAAAGCCACACTTTATTTCTTTTATCTGGCAATCATGCCTTCTAGACAAAAGTTCTCTATAAAATACCTCATAGATAAAATGTGACACAAAAGGCAAGTTACTGAAGGATGTTAATATTACATTCAAAGCAGTGTTTCATTCTATAAGCTCATTATAAGTTCAAAGCTACAGTTACACATGTCTTTGGTTTATCACAGTGCAAACCTGAGGTTTCATCCTGGCCTAGAATGAATGTTTTTTCTTGATCACAAATCTGTCCCAAGCTTGTCTCTCTTTTTAGTGCAATTTGTGAAAACTCATTGTGTTCCTTATTTCTGGGGAGCATACTCCCAGTGAACTTTAGCTGACTTCATGCTTGTGATTAATCATGAATGAGTCTGCCAACATCTGTCTTTGTTTTTAATTAAAACATGCATTGTACCATACAGAGTTCCTCTGCTTACATGTAAGTAGAGAGACTGTCCAAACCTGAAAGTAACAGCCTGAGTCAAATATAGATACTATGTACCATTAACTCGCCATGTAAACATTTGTAGTCATTGTTTATCTTCCCAGAACTGGTCACATGTTGTGTTGCTTGCCTTTAAGACACAGAAAATATGCTTATTCGCTGGCATGGTATTCACCAGCAGCTCTCCCATATTCTGTCGTTTGCATCTTCTTTCTGCCTTTCCTATTTTCATCCTTACTCCCCCAGTTGTGGTTCCTGTGTTGACTGACCAGCTGGCTCCTACAGAAGCATCAGGCTGGACTATGAGGGAGAAAGTGAAGGACATCACAGAAAAAGTGAGTGCTCGGAAAAAGAAAAAGGAGCTTGGTGCAGTGAGTATTTCTCAGGAGTAAAAGACACAGGAAAACACAGATAAGGGAGCTCAGAAAAAGTAAGGAAACTCATAAAAAGTAAATATTAAAGGGGGGGAGGTAAATGGAAATGGCCTTATGCTTTTTGTGCAAATGTTCAATATACTATGCTATACTGGGGCAACATGCTTTTTAGATTTTGTAGAAAAGGTTTGTCCTTGGTTTCCTGAGGAAGGGAAATGGTGAGCAATGGTGGAAGAGCTAGCTTCCACCCCTCTCTTGCAGGAGAGGAGACAACAACACAGAGCTCAGCAGTGGACATAGGTGAGTTATGATCCAATGCAGCAGGCTATATTCTAAGAAAAAAATGTTTATGGAAAATGTTTGAGATTGATAAATGCAAGGTTAGAGGATGTTTAAAGTTGGTAAATGCAAATAAACTTGTTTAAAGTTGGTAAATGCAAGTTATAAATATTGGATGGACTAAGAAGATGTTTTAAGGTATACAAATGCAAGTTATGGAAATGTAAGAAATGATTTAACAAAAAAAGGGAAAGGTTTCATATTTCCCCCACATGCTATTATTATTTCAAAGTTCAGAATTTTAACATTTATCAGTGGAGTTATGATAGGTTAATGGAACATTGGCAGTTTACAATTCAGTCATAAGCTTAAGATTTTAATTTCCCTGTGGTTGTCTCCTGAATATAAACATAAAGACGCTCCTCATATTGCTAAAACATCCTTGTTCAATCTGTTTAAATATAGCTGTAAACTTTTAACTTTTACTAGCTCTCAAAGGCGTTAAGTCTATACTCCTGTTGTCTAACAGGCACTTGTTAACTATATTTCTAAAATATGGAATTCAATACAATAGTACATAATAACTTACATCCTTTTGTATACTCAAGTTCACATAAGGTTCAGGGAACCAATAGTCCTAAGACTTGGACCCGCCTGTCACAGATCAAATGAACTCCAGACAAATACATCTGCCTGTTCTGATCAAAATATGGCCCCAAACATAAATTATATAAACTAATATATATCATAAAAGTTAGAACTTATATACATTGAAACATATATAATAATTACATGCATGTTCACACATGCATATAGTCTATATTTATAAGCATACATTAAACATAAATTATACATGTTAAATATAAACCTATATACATTGAATATGATTTATATACATGAATACATATTATATACAGTAAATATAAATCATATGCATTAAATGTTAAATATACTTTAAATGAAAATTATATACTAAACATTAATTATATATGTTAAAATTTTAAGTAAATGAGTTAAATCTATAAAGTTATAATCTATATAATATGCATAATTTTGCATGTCATCAAGAACAAGAAATTATAGAATGAGCCCATGGAGCTCAAAAAAGTCACCTACAAAAAAAATTAAAAAGGGGAGTTGTATACTCATTGACCACAAATCTTATTTTGAATTTTTTGACTTTGGACGTCAAGGGACTCTCTGCTTCTGAGTGTCTATGGCACCCTATAACTCGGTATACTTATGCCCAGTTGAAATGGAAGGTCTCACTTATTGGCACATAACATAGTCCTGATCCAGTATTAATATGGAGAAAAGGGAATATTTGTGTTTTTTCGAAGGATGCTAAAGGAGTGAGGTGGTTGCCAGAGCAATTGGTGAGATATGCGGATGCTGGGACAAAGAATGATGCTGACAGTGACAGGACACAGTAACTGTCCTGATGATGGCAATGAGGAAGCATTAGGCATATATTCCTTCCATATGGTCACAGCCAGAAATGTTTGTGACTTCTAATAATAGTTGTTAGGATTTCCTTGGTCTGAGAGTATAAAGTATTCCAAATTAGTGAATTACACTGCTAGAGATCAGGGCCTATCTACTTGTTTTATTAGAAATAGTAAGAATGTTGGATTTGTTTCTGTGGACCCTCAGACTAGGAAGAATATCTCTAAGACTGTAGTGTAAAGCATTAAGATGGGAAAGCTTGCATTTCAGACTTGACAAGCTGCCTTGCCTCAGGGTCGGAGACCTTGTGTGACAGAAAACAAGGAACTTGTGGAACTTGCTTTCGAAAAATCAATCAAATGGACAAGATGTTATAATGACCCTCCTCTTTCCACTAATGTGACTGTTTTTTTCGACTCAATCATGGACTGGTCTGGAAATCAACCCAAGATTAGACAAAAGGAAATGACAGTGGGCATTTGGAGGGCTGGTTCTGAACATTTTCAGGGACATATTTGAAAATTGGCAGCTGTCTTGTATAATGATATGTTTGCTGTAGATAAAAAATGGAACAGATTCTGGGGTTAAGGTAAATGTGACATCCTGAGTAATCCACCTAATCTTACTAACTGGGAATGTTACCTTTGATTATTATTGGCTCTGATGATGAGTTTAATGTTTGTGATAACATAATTTCATGTTTTATTAACGCAGCTTTTGTCTTCTTTATGTTTCTGTCTAACCAAAACAACCCAAACTGAAGTCTAGATCATAGACTTCCGTGTGAATCCTTCTGTAGTTCACATCCACCCATTTCTCATATTTATCTGTCTCTTAAACCACTTATCTGAAATAGCTAATTACTGTCAATATATGACATGGCAAATTCATTTAAAAGAAAAGCTAGACAGTTAGTCAGCAAGAGACAGGAAAAAGGTAAGTGGAAAACTGACTGCAAAGGAACAACAAAGGTATATGTTTTCTGAGGTGATCAATCTAAGACAGAGCATAAATGCTAAGATTCATGTACCAATGATGGGTAAGGGCCATATTTCTTGAGGGGGCACCTAAGACAGGAACAGTCTTTCTGAGTCAATAGCTGAGATAGCTTTGGCTTGTGTAGATTAAAAAAGGATGACGTGGGGAGCAAATTTGGAGTTAACCTTGGCTGACTTCTAGCTTGTGATTAATCATGAATGAGTCTGCTGACATCTGTTTTGTTTTTAATTAGGATGCACGTTTTTAGCCTGCCGAGTTCCTCCACTTACACATATGTCACTGAGAGACTGTCTAAGCCTGAAGGAAATGGCCTTCAAATGGTCAAACATAGATACTATATACCATAAACTTTCCATGTAACCATTTGTGGCTCCTGCACTCATTATGCAGCCTCTACTTACTACTCTATGAGAGGGAACATATTCTATTCTTGATTCTAACTTCATTACATCTTTTTGGCAAAACAAGTAAAACCATCTCCTTAAAACTTTCTCCCTAAAGTCATTTGAATTAAATCAGAAAGTTATCAATTCATCTAAACAGCATTATTCATGCTGATCTGAAGGAAATTTGCCCATTTGGGTGGGCTAATTCCCAGGAATTATTAGGCTATGCAATAATAGCAGGAAAGGCATTATCAGCAGTGAGAAGCAAACCTGGGATGAAGTATCTGAGGCTGGGCCTCTCCAGAGTGCACTCATTACAACCATGTAAAACAGTGGGCTATTTCCACTTGTTTGCCATTGCCTTTTACTACATGGCTTTTGTCAACTAATACTTCTAGGAAGCCATATTGAGGGCTGGAGAAATGGCTCAGCAGTTAAGAGCACTGACTGCTCTTCTAGAGGACCTGAGTTCAATTCCCAGTACCCATACGGCTTGCTCACAACTATCTCTAACTCCAGTTCCACTGGACCCAACACCCTCATACAGAGACATACATGCAGGTAAAACAGCAACATATGTTAAGTAAAAATAATTAGATTTTTTTTAAAAAAGACATATTGAAATAAGTTATCTTGCTGTCTTTGGATAGGGCCCAGAGGCAAAATAAAGTATAAATTGTACCACATAAGCAAGCTGGCAAAATTAAAACAGTTTAAAGGCTATTTAATTTGATATGAATTATTATATTTGGTAATATTATGATAAAAGCAAAAGTACTGGTAGAAATCCTTACCACAGAAAAGTATTCATCCGTACCCTGTTCTTGTAAATCAGAATTCCTCCTGACATCACTCCAATCAGAATTTCATTGTTACTTTGATCCTTCAAAATAAATAAACATGACACTCTAAAATAATTAAAACAGGACTAGATTTCTTTAAAAACCAAATTTCAAAGATACCATAAAATTTAATTGTACTTAGTGACAAATCCAAATAGTTTGTTGTTGCCTCATAAACAGTAAACTTCAAAACAAGCTGAAATGTGGCATTATTAACATTCGCTACTCTAGAAGATGAAGAGATATTTCAGCGGGGAAGCCCTTGCTGCACAAGCTTGTGGATCAGAGTTCAGATCTTTGTGGCCTTGGCAGCCCACCTGCAATTGCAGCCTTGGAGGGAGGAGAAAGGCAAATCCTAGCAAGCTGTCATACCAAGACTAGACATATCAGTATGCTCTGGGCTTTATCCTGTCTTAATAAATAAGGTATAAAAGCAATCAAGGACGATTCTTGACATCAACCTTGGATTTCTATATACACATGTACACTTGTTCCAGTGCACAAACACATAAATACCATAATGCCACACACACAAAGTTTTTTTTTAAAGTCAATATTAAAGTAAAAATCCGATGAGTTCTCTTATGACCAGGACTAACTTTGGTCAAGAAGAATCTATGATAAAATATCTACAAACATGGAAAATCCTATGACTAACAATATGATTAACAATATCATGAAAAACCAAAGTAGACTGTTCTTGAGTTTCAAAGACCACAGAAAAGAAAATTAATTATGTTTTGAAGAATGTATAAGAGCTTTCATATGATGACAATCCAAATTAAATAGACTATTCTGCATTATTGAACATGAAAAGACTTTAAATATTTTTCTTAAATGTAAATCTTTGAAACAGTTTTGCCTTTTCACTTGAAATGCATACTTTAAACCTCTTAAATCCATGTGTCCTGAAATCAGCCCAAATTAAACAAATCCTTTAAACTGTAGCTTTCAAGCTTTCTTTTCCTTTTATTTTTTTGCTTTCTTCATCACTTAGTACTGTTATTTTTTTCCTCTACAAAATTCTAAATAATAAAGAGTAGAGCCTTTGTTCAATCATCTGTTCTGTGAACTCATCTGTAGAACAAATAGTTCTCCTATATCTGTACAAAAATGCCATAACTATTTAGCTTGGCATGGAAGTCATTTGAACAATAGTTAACACCACATGTTATCTTCCTCCAACCTAGAAAAACCTATTCTAGTTAGGCAACATCAGTTTGACGATGTGATTTGTGATAACGTAATTTCATGTTTTATTAATGCAGCTTTTGTCTTCTTTATGTTTCTGTCTAACCAAAACAACCCAAACTGAAGTCTAGATCATAGACTTCTGTGTGAATCCTTCTGTAGTTCACATCCACCCATTTCTCATATTTATCTGTCTCTTAAACCACTTATCTGAAATAGCTAATTACTGTCAATATATGACATGGCAAATTCATTTAAAAGAAAAGCTAAATAGATACTCAACAAGAGACAGGATAAAGGTAAGTGGAAAACTGACTGCAAAGGCACAACAGAGGTGTGTGTTTTCTGAGGTGATTAATCTGTTTCATATTGCAATTGTAGCAATGGTTACGCAAAGCCGCACAAGCTTTAAAACTCAAAGACCTGAACATACATAACACGTTACCTGGAAAGTAATAGTCCTTTGTGGTTCCCCATAAATCATCTCTGTTTCTTTTTAGCTTAAAATTTCACTAACTGCATGAAATGGGGCATACACTTCGGAGGCGGAGGCAGGCAGATCTCTGAGTCGAAGGACAGCCTGGCATATAGAGCAAGTTCCAGGACAACCAGGGAAAAACACAGAATACCCCCACCACAACGATGGCTTAAAACATCTCTCTCTCTCTCTCTCTCTCTCTCTCTCTCTCTGTATATATATATATATATGTTTTAAAATAAATAACTGTGAGTCTGCTCTATTTGAAAACAGAGCACAAACAGTTCCCCTTGCTTGTTTTTCCAAATACATTTTACTTCTGATACTCAAATAAGCTTAAGTTTTCTTTCTGTGTTCTTCCTTTTATAAAAGTCCCTTTATATTTACTGAACAATCTTTTGAGGTCTTAGTATGCCCAGACAAGAAATAATGGATTTCTTGGCCTTTAAAAAACAATTTCTTTTAGAGCTATCATATCACTGTGTTGTTAGGCTAGCCTGGGTTGAGTGATCTTGTCTTGGGCTCCCAGGTGCTCAGATGATAAGCACGTGCTACCATGTGCATCATTCTTTGGTTTAGTTTGTATATTAAACATGTTCCCAAATAACTGACCATTCAAAACTTTAATCTCTTTAACCTGATATTTTATATTTAGTACTCTCTCAGAAACTGTTTTACAATCTAACAGTTAAAGGAAAGGAGAACTACTTTAATTATATCAGTAAGTAATGATATGGTTAGTTATATGTGCTTTATCTAACTTTGCATTTAACTATAAATAACTCTGTTCCATTTGAAAACATAGCACAAACAATTCTCCTTGTTTCTTATTTCAAATACACTTTTGCTTATGATAGTCAAACACAAGTTTTAACTGGACATTTTAAAGCATAATCTAATTTTAAAATGTGGTTCTATCAGTTGTAAACTTCCCTCAAAAAAAAATCAAAAACAAAAACAAAAAACCCTACTGTACAAATACCAATGAGAATATGCAACAAACCTAAGTGTAAAAATAATAAACCCTAAATATGGAAGGAGAGTAAAGAACCATTTAGAAAAAAAAAGCAAAACGTTTAAGAGACAATTAAGGAATTACAAGATACCAATCTCTTGAGGAAACCAGGCCATAGGGAATTCTAACAGTGTACAGAAAGGCCTGGACTATGTGACACAAGCCTTTAATTCATTGCTCATGAAGTAGAGGCAGGGAGATCTCTGAGTTCAAGTCCTGCCAAATCTACAGAATGAGTTGCAGGGCAACCAAAGCTATACAAAGTTCCAGGAGAGCCAAAGGTACACAAAGAAATACTGTCTCAAAAAAAAAGGAGAAAAAGTGAAGACAGACATACGCTTTGTGAAACATCAAAGGTAGAGCTCCTTGCCCAGAACCTGACTGGGTGAGACCCTGAGTGACAAAAGCACAGTACAACAAAACTTTGAGTACTTCCCCACTGCATCCTGCACCTGCATGTTTGTATTGAGGCAAGTTCAAAATAATTTAACTAAGGAAAACTGTGGCTCTTACTCCCATTTATGGCTAATACTAGCCTAATTCTGCTCAAGAATGTGTCTAAGGGAATAAAAATTCCACTGCTGACTCAATTGATGACTATAATTCTACTGAAAATTGCTGGACTTTTAAGTACTTCAAAGAAATATAAAAATCTTGATAAACCACAAAAAGGTATACAGCTACATATGGTGGACAGCCTTTCACAAATATAGCTCAGAGGATAACAATCTCTGAAACAAAAAAATGTTTCAAACAGGAAAAGTGTTACACTGTGAAAACCCAGTGATTATAACTTTAAAGACATGACAGGCAGACATGGGCTTTACAAATAAAATTTGACCATGAGATAGCTCAGTGATTGAAACAAAAGGACAAGCCTTGGTGACATGAGGGCATCTTGTATAATTATGATTAGCAAAGATTTTGACAAAAGCAGTGCCTCTAAGGCAATCTTTTGTTTACAAAACAAATATTCAAAAACTACTGTCCCCTACAGTCTACATTGGTTTTGCAACATAAATCAACACCTGAAAGAAAAAAACAACTCATTTCCACCCATCTTGTACTTATGTTATTGTGAAATATTTATTTCAAGAGGAAATTTTTATTGCAGCTATGTCAGCAGGAAACACAAATTATCCTGTTACCTAGTTCTCTCAAGGAATTAAAATTTTGAGGAGTTGTGGTTTATGGCTAAGTGTAAGAGTATTTAAGGCCCTGGTCCAATCACTCCGGCACTGTATAAAAAGATTTTAAAATCCTTGATACAAAGGAAAGAGGCCTTACTCAACATCTAAGTAATTTTTTTTCTTTACTTACCCTTGCATAGTGAAATTCAACTCCATAGAGTTCTAAAGTACGTGCTGTGTTTAAGTAATTAAACTCTGCTTCTGCAGGAGATAAGCCACTGTGAAGAAAACATCAGATCAAAAACTAGATCCACAGAAAAGTTACAAGTTACAAAAAGATTATGTGGAAAAAAGAGTCTACGTTTTATATAGTAACATCTACCTTATTTCAAGGTCACACTTGAAGTAATTCATATTTTTTCCAGATTATCTTCTTTATTTTCCAGGAATATAAGAATACAGTGAGTGCTGGGGCTAGTGAGATCATGGCCCTTATGGTAGTAGAGAACCCACTAGCATCCTTTTTCTACAACAGTATTATTCCTTATTATACCCTAAAATTTTTCATTATGTCCAGAGCTAACAGTAGCGCTTATTCCCTTATCAAACAGAGTCTTTTGCTGTCTCTTTACAGTAAATGAGACCATTACAAAAAAACATAGCAGGTCATAATGCAGAAAAACAGTGAATCATGGGGGAGGATGCTATCCCCAATTGAATACATTTATAATAACTCCTGAACCTAAGGCTCAGAGAATATTGAGGAAGAGGGGAGCAAAATGACAGTAAAAGCCAGCAAACCAGGAAGTCTATACTATGAGAGTGTGTCTTCTAGAAATGGTAGTGAAGCTTCATTCATGATACCCCAACAATTTAGCTGCTTAAACAAGGGTGGCACCAATAGACTTGCTAACAGGGGAAAGGGAAACTCATGAGGTCCTACCCCTCAACAAACAACAACTAATGCTTGCTGAGAGAGAAAATCTTTCCCAGGGATAAACCCTCTAATTGGCTATCCAAGTGCTAAACTCTGAAATTATAAAAACACAAGCCAAATGGACTCAGCAAGCTGCACGCATATATATATATTTATATATATATTTATATATATATGTGTGTGTATGTATATATATATATATATATGCGCATCAATTTGAGAGATAATCAGAGCATTAGAAGGAGTAGAAACAGAAAAGGGAAAAAAAAAGTGGTGAAATACTTGAATTAAAAAAGTTTAAAAAGACACTGGCAATTAGAAACCCCTGGGGAGTACTACAGATCAGAAGTGAAAAAAAAAAAAAAAAAGAAAAGAACAGAGTAAGTTTTAAACCTCTAGCTGATCTTACAGCTATTAACAAAGCCACTTATTTCCTAACATAACTTTAAAACATTTCTCATAATACAGTTTATACACCATAGCTACATGTGAAATATACAGGGTATACTGTATGTGCACTGTCATACCAGCACAAACATGAGTATCAAGAGATTTTCAGAGCAATCATGTATTCATTAAAGGTCTTCGATTTATCTGTTTTAACATTTCAACAATGTTTACTACTTGTTTTAAAATATATCATACTTAGTATAACAATGACAGATTAACTAGGTTTCATCTGAGATGCTTAGAAGTACAATCCCACAGGGAAGCTGCAGTTAAAACTTTATATTTAATAAATATTTCTAGTGATTCTTAAAACAAAAATTTCAGAACTACTCTAAAATATAGTACTTTAAATATATACTGTAAAAGGTCTACTACTCTATTTCAAATATACTCCTAACATCCTTAGTAATATAGAGTTAGCATGCAATATAGCAGAAAACTCTAACAGTGAGGATATCAACCTTTCCATCACTGATACTGGAAACCAGCCACTTGCCAATGCATAATCAAAATGAATGTGCCCCCTCATTACTAACAACAACAACAACAAAAATTGTGTTAACTACACGCTCCTCCCAATTAAATTAGGTAATTCTGGTTTTGTTTTTAGATCTGATGAATCAGCTTTTCAAACAGAACTAGCTTGTGGAAACACAACCCCTTTCCTTATTTAAGGGACTTTTATTAGGTAAGTTTTACTCCAATTTATCCTGAAAGCATTGACTTGGATAGGCTATATTTAAAGGTTTTACTTATAAAGGATGGCTTTTATAGGGAAACAGCATCCTCATCACACTAGACCACTCAGTTTAAATTCTTACGTCATTATAGTCTACAGCAAATCCAAGGTCAAAAAAACCTTTTAACAGAAAGTATAAACAGTATTTTTAAATCTTCTGGATAAGTTATCTTTGTAGAAACAACTTTAGAATGCAAAAGCATTCCACATCCAACACAGAAATTAATGAGAATATCTGTTTATGTGAGTGTTCATTTGTGGACAACAGATTTCAGAAATTTTCACATCCTATAAAGTATTATTTCCCCATGCATTTAAAATATAGAAACTACTTAATCTATATCTTAATATAAACTTTAAATATATTTAGTGGGTGGATGGATGGATGGACAGACAGACTGACCGACCAACTGACCAATTAGCTCAATGGTAGACCACTTTCGTAACATAAGCAAGGTCTAGGTTTGATCCAAATATTCAGTGATATATTTAGATATTTGAGATTTACTATATAAACAAATATATAGTATTACATATTAAAAAACATGTATTTGCCATGCTTGGCCCATTTGCTGTAAAAAAAAAATTAGGGATTGAGCTATTTTTTTCTAACTTTTTGAGACATTTTAATTATTACCGAATTGGCAGTAAGAACTAATATTTCCTTAATACCTACCTTACTAGGTACCAGCCTGAGAACTTTGTATATATAATCCCAAGACTCAGAATTTCTGGCCAGGAGGTGGTAGCAAACAACTTTAATCCCAGCACTTGGGATAAATATTTATTAAATATAAAGGGAGACAGTGGCAGGCAGAATTTTGAGTTTGAGACCAGCCTGGTCTACAGACTGAGTTAGGACTACCAGAGCTACAGAGAGAAACCCTTTATGAAAACAACAACAAAACTAACAAACAAACAAAAAACAAAAAGAAAGAAGAAAAGAAAGATTCAGAATTTCTAACTCAAGATACTTTAATTCTCTCAAATTTAAAGCTAAGGAAACAGAGTAACAGAAACAGGACTATAGCCAAGGTTCTGATATAGTAAGTAGTTTAAGCCAGGAAGTCTAACTCTAGTTCAGACTTTTAACCAATATGCAACAATATCTTTGTTCTGTCACTATTCTGAATCATAGGTTAAAACAAAACTGAATTCTGAGGCCACAAAAAACAATTCTTAAGGCCAGACATGTGGTGCACATCTTTAATCCCAGCACTTGGGAGGCAGAGGCAGGTGGATCTCTATGAGTTCAAGGCAGGACTACATGGCATTCCTAGATAGTCAGGGTTCTACAGAAAGACATTATCTCAAATCATATCAAATGAAAACAAAACAACAATTCCTTTCTTGAAAAATGTCACATGAAGCTGGAGACTTGGCTCAGCAGTTAAGAGCACTGGTTGCTCTTAAAGATGACCCAGATTAATTCCCTGTACAGTAGCTCACAATAGTGTAACTCCAGTTCCAACACTCTCTTCTGACCTCAGTGGGTACTAGGCAGGCACATGGTCCATAGACATATATACATGCAGAACATTCATAAACATAAGTATATAAATCTGAAAGAATATCACAAAACATAAGATTAAAAATGCCCTCAAAGTTGAATACTACTGAGAATGAAACAAGTTAACTGCCTTTAAAGAACATTAAAAGAATTTCATTAGATTGTTACTTTTTTCCATCTCATTCATTACTAAACAGAATCAACATTCTTCAAAACCCTGAAAACTAAGAAAATGACCAAGTCAATTGTACTGTATATTACTAATACATTATTCTAAAATTTCCTTTTTTAAAATTAAAGTTTTATTTTATTTTTAATTACATACATATGTGCTTATGTATGGGCATGTGCACCTGTGTGGGAGTACCCATGGAGACCAGAAAAGGGCATCAAGATTCCTTAAAGCTGTAGTTTCACACAGTTGTGAGTTACCTGATCTGGGTGCAGGAAACTTGGGTCCTCTGTAAAAGCAAGAAGCACTGAGCCATCTCTCCAGCCCCCTAAAATTATTTTTTTTAAAAGAACTGACAATGTCACATAAAAGCAATCGGTATATGTCTTAAATTTATATAAAAAGAAAGGAAAATATGGGTATATTTAGTCCCATAAGGTGTATGTTTATAATTTCAAATCGAAAGATAACGCTTTTCTGTTGCCAAAAAGCATTTTGCCTTAGTAAAGATGTATTCTACTGGTCATGGGAACCCAGAGTTGGGGTTGGGCAGAGTTGTTTGCTTTTCTTCAACAGAAAAACAAAAGTTATGCTCATAAAAGCTAACATGGGGTAGAGTTTCACCCTACCATCCTGTTTCCTTGGAATGTGAGGCTCCCACTGGAGGACTAATGGCAGCTCGTAACAGCTAACTTAAAATAGAATGTCATGCTGTAATTAGCAACCAGTCTCTTTAAATGTGGGATCCTATCGGAGAACTGATTATGGCTCACCCTAGCACATGACACATAGCCAAGGCAAAACCTTCAAGCAAACACAAGGTTACTTGAGAATATGTTTATACAATAAGTGGAAGGAAATTTAAATAAATTTGAATACAGAGAAAGATTTTGAATTAATTTATATAAAGAGAAAGGGAAATATAGATATACTTATCCACATAGATATTTTATTTGTTTATTTATTTATTTATTTATTTTTGGTTTTTGGTTTTTGAAGACAGGGTTTCTCTGTGTAGCCCTGGCTGTCCTGGAACTCACTCTGTAGGCCAGGCTAGCCTCGAACTCTAGAACTCAGAAATCTGCCTGTCTCTGCCTCCCAAGTGCTGGGATTAAAGGCGTGCGCCATCACCGCCTGGCTTTCAACTTTTTTTTTTTTTTTGGATCCACATAGATATTAATCTCCAAAGAAGTAAAAAAGAAATGGGAACTGATACGTTTTGATGGGTACATAGATAATTAATAAATATATAAATAAATCCTGGCCTTTGATCTCAATACTTGGGAGACAAAGGCAGGGACAAATAGGTTCCTTGTGAGATCCAGGTCAGCCTAATCTATAGAGCAAATTCAAGTCACTCCAGGCTACACAGAGAACCCCTGTCTCAATAAATAATAATTGTTTTAAAATGTTTTAATTGTTTTAAATTATCAAGTGAAGGTAGTTATATGTTCAATGATTATGATGGTATTATTCTTCCTTGAAAGAGGTCAAAATGGAGCAGACCTAGGTAGAAAACAGCCTGGCAAATTGGGTAAGTCTATACTTTTTAATGACTTTAGACTGGAAGAAAAAGGACATGCTGTGTTGGGAAAGAGGCTCTGTATTTGTGTTAATAGGAAAGAAGAAAAAGCTTTGGATCCTTCCAAAATAATAAGGATCAGATTTGATAAAGGGAGACCCCTGAATATCTTAGCAGCAGACAGAAGAAAATTAAGATGACCAAACAGGTGATATTTATGCTGATCCCTCCAGTTGTGAACAGGTCTGAAACCGATTAGATAGGTAAATGTCTCCTGCTATAACTTCAGCTATACACAGCCAATAAATCTTGTTGACTATAGTTCTTATGACTTATTATTATATATCATCCTTTCATATGGTACAAATAGAGATTTATATTGTAGTTTGGTCATATGATCAAAGTAACTTCTAAGGAAAGACAGTTATCTTTCACCTGCTCAAACAAAGAGCAGAAAATCATCTTTAATCGATCTATGTACCCTGAACATGCCAAACAAATGTCTTTATAGAACTATGTATTACTTGTAAGGTTATATATTGCAGAATGAAAGACTAGGAGAGCATCCCTGACAGGATTCACCTTCAAGGATGTTGAGATGCTAAGATCTGCTGTTTTAGCTCTGTGATTGATCCTGCCTTAAACTGATGCTGTTTCCAGAGACTTGCTTCTGGAACAGCTTTGGAAAGGACTGCTAATCCCAGATGACCTCCATTTATTCAGCCTTTCAGATTGATCCATTCAAGACTTCACTTAATCAACACATAGAGACTGGCAACAAACGATGCCAGTAAGCTTCTTTTTTGACTTAACCATTTTCTAATTTTCTTGGGCCACCAAAAGGGAAATCTTCACCCCAATTCAGCAGATAGCAATTATAAGAAGACTGTCCCAGTCCTTTAAGTTTCAGTAGATGATTTTGGTCCTTTCATGAGTTATAGATATGTTAGCATTTTGGGGTGATTTACAAATAATTATGGTCTTGAACAGGGAGAAATCTAAATAAGAGGTTAGATTCAGGGATTTCTCTTTCCTTTCCTTTTTTTCTATCTTTCTTAGGTAAGGGAGGGGGTTGAGAGGAAGAAGGGGGTATATAGAAATTTAAGAAATTAGACATATAGGAGTAATTATTGAATCTACTCTTAAAGCAAAAGACATTTTAAAACCGTAAAATCTGACATTGGTAGAGATCCTTATATTTTGATGCAAAACTGAGGTTACATTTTGTTGCACTGGTACAGAATTTTATATATTGATACAAGTTTAAGTTTTCATTGGTATAAATCTTTGTATTCTCATAAAAAATTTAAGATTAATTTTGTTGTGACACAATATATGTATGGTCAACTCTTGTGTAGGTATTATGTCAGTGCAACTCATTGAAAGTACAAGGTTTCATCCCAGTCTTTTTACTGTGATTACAAACTGTTTAGGATAACTAAGTAATGCAAATTAAGAAGAAGTCAGTCAATCAAACTCATGGTCATGTTAGAAACTAGTCTGGATTACCACAGAAATATCCATCCTGGGGTTGTACAGATAATAGCTAGCTGGAGACAAACAATGTCTGCTTATTTAGATACGCTATAGATAGATGGTCTTCAAAAACCTTAGAAGCTCACAGAATTTGGCATTTAAACATTAATATTAATTTAAAATCTTTTTTGATATTGAGACATGTCAACTTGGCAGTAACCCATTCAATTTGGGAAAGAATGATGAGTTTCAGAAACCTTCATATGGAGTTACTTCAATTATGACATGCTAGCCACTGGGGAAACAAAATGCCCTACCTTCATCTGCAGACAGAATGCCATCCAGAAAGAACAAGCAGATACAGGGAAGTTGACTGCCAAGCTCTGCCAATACAGAGTAAGTGAGTCCTTCATAATTCCTGCTTCACAAAAGGTCTATCAGATATTCTGGGCCAGAAAGCTGAAGATAGATGCTCTACCATTTTGGGGACTGTCATTTCTATAACTTTGGAAGCTCCATTTCTGAACTTCCTGCATACTCAGGTAATATTTACTCTTTCTCAGGTCTCTGATGGGGTTGAAGACTAGATAGTTATAGTCTCACAATTAAACTGAAATTGTTTAGCATTTAGAAAGATATTCTAGATCTAAGAAGATATTTTTAGGTTAATAATGCAAATTAGGATAAAAAATGATTTAGATATAAAACTCTAAACTCACCAAGATAGAATAGATAATAAAATACTTTCTCTTAAGTTGCTGAAAACAAACTGGACTTTTGAATGTATCATTTATGTAATAATTTTTATAACTGTTTCATAATTGTTCCTATTATACACTCTTTATTACTATAAAAGAGTCTTTATTTAGATTTTTTTTTAAATAAAAGGGGGGGGGATGTTGAGGTTTAGTCTGTTGTTATGTACTATAATTCTAAATACTGGCCCTGGTTGCCTCAGGAACAAGAGAATTTTCACATAAGGCAAGTGATGCTATGTAACCTTGCTCCTTAATTTAAAACTATTGTTTCAATAAAGATGCTATAGTTGGGCAGAAGAGAAATAGGTAGGGTTTCAGTTCCTAGGCTAGGGGTCTGAGGAGGACCATGAGGACAAAGAGGGAAAACAAAGTGGAGAGAGAAGATGCTATGGGTTAGGTGAGTCATAAAAACATGGCCACGAGAACTGGCCAAATGGAGTTAAGATCTAAGTTATAACTTGGGGTTATTGACAGGAAAATAGACATAATAGCTTAGAGAGTAGATATCTACCCAGCTCTAGTACATTAAAATGCTTATTATAAATATTAAAGTTGTGTGTCTTTTATCTGGGAACTGAATGATCTGAGCAGGGTAGAAACCCGATTGAGACTAAATATTTAATACAACATAAACTGTTTATTTACATATAATTTATGGTTGTTACAGAAATGAAAACAAGGTGCATATATGTGGTGAAATAAGCAATGAAAGGTTTTTATATAAAGTATTCACACATTTCTTTATAATGATAATAGAAATTCCTATATCAAATAAACAATAAATTAAGAATGATGTAAGACATTCTGCCCTCTAGAAAAGTTTCTATCTTAGATAAGAGTTTCATTGCTGTGATGAGACATCAAGACTTTGGCAGCTCTTATAAAGGAAAACATTTAACTGAGGCTGGCTTACAGTTTCAGAGATTTTGTCCATTATCATCATGTGGGAAGCATGGCAGTGTGCAGACAAGACATGATGCTGAAAGAGCCAAGAGTTCTACATACATCCTGATCCTCAGGCAGTGAAAGGAGATTGTGTCACACTGGGTATAGCTTTAGCTAGGAGACATCAAAGCCCACCTCCACACCTATACCCTTCCTCCAACAAGGCCACACCTACTCTAACAAGGCATACCTCCTATTAGTGCCACTCCCTACGGGCCAAGCATTCAAACACATGAGTGTATGGGGGCCAATCCTATTCAAACTACCATAGCTGCCCATAAAGCTTACCAAATAAACAGAAAATTCAACACATGCTTACATATGCTGCTGATGTAACTTTGCAATTTCTTTCTCAAAATCTTGAGGTTGATTAGGAATGAAAGAATAATCTGAGAGGTAGCCTGCCAAGTTTTCTGACTGATTGTAGTCTCCAAGCTCAGCTAATAAAAAGAAAATATCATACTTTAATACTTTAATTATATTAAAATCAGCAATGTCATTAATTCACATAAAATTATGAAACGAATTCTTCTAGTTACATTAAACAAGTTGCAGTAATTCATGTAAAAATAGTTGCTAACCACTTAGACATTCATTGACTTACCCTCAGAAGTTCCTACTTCTGAAGAACTCTTGCAATGTGTTATCATTATAGACTACAAAATCATATGCAGCTTCATTAATGCAGGCTGATACTTACACTGAACAGCAAATGAAGCTAAAAGGGCAGCAGTGTTACAAGGACAGGATAATCTATTAAGACAAAAGAAAAAATACATAACCCAAGGATAAACAAAATTTCAAAATATGCTGTCGTTTGTTATACTACTGACATTGGAAGTTTCTACATGCATCCATTTTAACCACAACTACATTAATTAAGCTGGGTTTTAAGGCACACGTCTATGATTCCAACACTCATGAAGTTAAGGTGATTGCCAGTTTGAAGCCAATCTAGGTTACATAATAAGACGATGTCTCAAAAAACAAACAAAATAAACCTCTTCCCCAATAAAAGGCTGACAAAAGAAACTCATGCTATCTATAACCATTTTTTAAATTTATTTACAGCAGTCATGAGAGTTAATACAGAATTTAAAATATTTTTAAATTATACTGTAAGAAAACCCTTAAAAATACTCACCTTCCAGTAAGAATGTCTTGCTTAATTTGCAAAAAATACTGATACCTTAAAAATAAAAGAAAAAAGATATTTAGTAGAATCATCAAATTGAGTTCTTCTATACTCTATACTTACATTAACAAAATTCAACATTTAAATTTCCTTTTGTTATCTACACATTAGCATATTAACTCAGCATATGTATACATTAGCAAAAATGCCAGAAACAGATTTTGTGAGTTGATTACAAGTCTTTAAAATTCATTAATATATGGAACTTTTTATTTTGAGTATCTTGTTTCTATTATAAAACTACTCAAGACTTCCAAGATCTCTACTGCTAAAGAGACGACTTAGGAACAACAGTCTGAACACTGGTACATGCAGCAACAACTAGAAGCATAGACAATTTAAACATCAATGACACAGGAGCAAAAGAGCATACTAGAAAACAGTGAATGAAAACCATCTTTTCTGTGGAAATAGGAAGTCAGGACAAGGACATGCCTATGTGCACATCATTTTCTTCTTAACCTTTCTGTGGAAAAACTATCTACTACCACTGGAGTTAAGAAAGCTCTTTCATCAGAAAATTAATCGAAGTCTGTCTTCTACTATAGCTCTGGTATTAAAGTGTTTAAACAATCACCTTCTTTTAACATGAACATGACACACTGCTGAGGTTGCTTACAAGATGGCACTGTCCTTCTGTCCTTGATAGTGGGTAAGCTAGTCAATATCTGGGCAAAATCACCTGTGCTGAAAATATTGGCATAAAAACGAAATGTCATGATATTAAATGTTGAACAGGGATTTATGGACTTCAATCAGCTTTTAAAAAGTCAAACTCAACATGAATGTTATTTATTTAATTCAGGACAGTGGAATTCTATGAAATTTATTTGATTTCATAATCAAAACTTTAAGATCTAGCTGGTGACATAAGTCACAACTAAAGCTTGTACATAGCATGCACAAGGCCTAAAACCACTAAAAAGAAGAAGAAAAATCTAAAAGGCCTTGAGTACAAAGAAGTTTTATAGTTGTGAATTAAAGGTAATAGGTATAATTGTAAAATTCTATAAAAATAATATTTATACTTACTGGAAATTATTTAACCAGAGAAGGGAATTATTAGATTAAAAACCAGAAGTCAAGTTCTAAAGTAGCCTATGATATGGGGCAAAATTAGATCACTTGTCTAGTGTATATGTTTTAGGAGTTAAAAAAAAAACAAAACAAAAAACAAATCACTTCTAATGATACCGGTACTTGCCAATACTTAAGTACATTTATCACAATGGAAGACTTTTGATCACTGCTTTTCTTTCCACTAATTCAAAATGGTATCTATCTCAAAGTAGGGAGTTAGAGCAAGCATCCTTTTGTGTGTGTGTATGCGTGTGTGTGCATGTGTGTAATATAAACTTCTCCCAAAAAGGTAGCAACTTGATAATAATCAGGATCATCATACTTTATTTCTCCTTTTTTAATTTAAAAAAGATTTTCTCATACAATATAGTCTGATTATGATTTCTCCTTCCTCAATTCCTTCCATATCCTCTCTAATTCCCCACCCACCCAAAGACACACCCTTTCTATCTCTTAATAAAAACAAAAATGGTCTCCTACACCAACAGCTTCAGCACAAGTTAATTCTCAACTGCTTATATATTTTTACTCTCTTCAAGTTCTGACTCAATTATCAGTGAGATATACCCATTGTTTCCAGCATATGCTATTAACACACAGGCACACATTTAGGTTCTAATAGGAAATCCAGTTTTCAGTGTGAACTGAATACTGAACTATGGTTTGAATGTGAAATGCCCCCACAGGCTCAGGTATTTGAACACTTGGTGCTGCTCCTGTGAAAGGTTGTGGAACCTTAAGGAAGTAGAGCCTTGCTAGAAGAAGTGAAGAAGGCTGTGAGGTTTGATAACCCAGCGCTATTTTCTGTCCTCTGTCTGCTTTCTGCTTATGAATGTAATAATGCAAGCTGCTTCTAGCTCCTGCTGCCATGCCTATCCTGTCATGATGGGCTGTAATCAATCCTAAACTCCAAGTCAAAATGAGCCCTCTTCCCTTAAGTTGTTTCTAGTCAAGTATCTAATCAAAGCAACAAGAGAAATAACTAAGACAATATAACTGCCAATATTTTAATTTTTGTATATTAACAAATATCATAAACATTAAAAAATGTTAAAAAGCTAATTTTAAGTTGTTGATGTTTTAATTGTGTTTCTTATATGTGTAGCTGAAAATGAAAAGTAATTTATAGTGTTTTATAATTAAAATTGTTCATAATTCTGACTAATTTCCTTGGAGATCTTGCAAAACCAGGAAAATTTTTAGTATACTGATGATTACTTATAATGATAAAAGATTATTTTAAATATTTAACATTAACAACATACTTGCTAGCCGGGCAGTGGTGGCGCATGCCTTTAATCCCAGCACTTGGGAGGCAGAGGCAGGCAGATTTCTGAGTTCTAGAGTTCGAGGCTAGCCTGGTCTACAGAGTGAGTTCCAGGACAGCCAGGGCTACACAGAGAAACCTTGTCTCAAAAAAAAAAAAAAAAAAACCAACATACTGGCCAAATTTAATATGTAGATTGTACTGTGAGACAAAATAAATCATGGTTGTAAAGGAGGAACAAAGTAACAACAAACCTAAGAGCTATAATAGTAAATTAAATACATTTATTAGTGGTTACAAATATCCCAACTGCCAAACATGGCACCTATACTCCAGGGTCAAAAAAACATCAGCAAACAGAAAAGATTTTCAAGAACTATGTTTTAACATCAGCCCAGTCACAAAACCTTTGACCTACAATCTGTCCTGCCTGCAAGATGTGCTAGGGCAGGGGTAGCACAGAACTTGTGGGAATGGTTCAATTTAAGCCCACACCACAAGAGGGAGCCCATGCCTGACACTGGTTGGCCAGAAACCAGAAGAATAGCCCATGATCCCCAATTATATTCTGCTATACTCATAGCCTAGCCCAGTTGTCATCAGAGGTGCATCATCCAGCAACTGATGGGAGCAGATGCAAAGACCCACAGCCAGACACCAGGCAGAGCCTGGGGAACCTGAAGAAGAGGAGAAGGAAGAATTGTAGGAGCCAGAGGATATCACAAGAACACAGCACACAGAATCAATTATCAGGGCTCATAGGTGCTCACAGAAACTGAACCAATAAACATGGCTCCATTCTCTAAATCTAAAACAAAACAAACAAAAACAAAACAGAAAAAAACAAAAAACAAAAAAACAAACAAAAAACATGGCCCCTGTAGAGAAACAGAGGAGTTGATCTGGGGGAGAGAGTAAGTGAGCAGAGAAACTGAGAGTAGTGGAGAGAAGGGAAACTGCAGTCAGGATGAAACACATGAGAGAAGACTAAAAGGGTTTTGTTTTTTGGATTTTTTGTTTTGTTTTGTTTTTAAAAAGCTTCGTTTAGTATTGAGAACTCTACATATATCAAGAAATAGTAGTGTATACTAATTCAATGGCTTTATTCCGCTGCTGTTACATTTTATTGCATCACTAAAGTAATTCTGATAAGCCATCCAGGTAGTGTCAGGCATGGGCTTCCTCTTGTGGTGTGGGCTTAAACTGAACCACTCATGTGTTGGGCACTCCCACAAGTTCTGTGCTACCCCTGCCCCAGCACATCCTGCAGGAAGGACAGATTGTAGGTCAAAGGTTTTGTGGCTGGGTTGAATTATCACCTATGTTCTTATATCTGGAAAGTGTACAAAGGGGATAGTATTCTAATTCTTTTCATTTAAATTACTAATTCTGCATTCCATCAAATATAGTAACCTGCACTTAAGTAAGCAGCTTACTGTAATGACTGTAATTGTTTTCCTTACTTCTACCCTAAACATTTCACCTAATTCTCAAAGGCACTGCTGAAAAGCTCATAAGGATCATTCTTGAGTACTTTCTCAAGTAAAAGTGACAAGCTAAGACTTAGAACATGCAGTAAAGTGGGCACACAGATGCCCAAATGTGCTTTATCACTGCCACATCTTTTATACAGTTCAATGTATTTCCTCTGGACTTAAAAATATATCCTGCACATGATCGCTATATGCATATTTTAGACATTTTATGCTCTACTTAGTGAAAAGAAAGAAAAAAAAACAAGAATATGCTTTTGCATGAAAAAAAAGTGTGTGTGTGTGTGTGTGTGTGTGTGTGTGTGTACCAAAAACTCTCTCACTATACAACATGCTTTGGATAAAATTCAGTGCCATCTCATTTCTTCCTTTAATTTCAGCAGTGCTGCTTGGGCTAGGTGAGGTGGCTCTGGGTGTCCAACTCTTAACAGCTTTCCCACTCATGGAAGAAACAGTTACCTTGAACACTTATAAACTTTCTATATGCTGGTTTGGAAGCTCAAATTTTTAGTATGGTCATTTATTTTTGCCTACTTAATTTTATTTTTTCATATTAGATCTCTGACAATGTTTTCAAAAGAAATAGTTCCATAAACCAACCTTGTATACTCTTCTTGTAACTTGTTGGGGTCACTTACAAAGAATTTGACTCTAAAGTTCAAATTGTAAGGTGATCCTCCTAAAATTAACAGAAACAGCTCTAATTAATCAGATTATATTAGTCCATCATCTTTATAAGGCATATTTGCAAAAGATCAAGTAAATAGTATGCTTACTCTTTAGCTGCTTCCTTATTGGTTTGTTTGGATCCAGCCACCTCTGAAAAATAAAGAAGAGAGGTTTCTTTTTTCCCTGAAGAAGTAGCATATCAGTTATTGCAAATCTGTTCCACTTGAAAACTGCATTTTTGAAAAGGGTTTAATGTAGAAACATTACATTAGAAGTAATGCTGACTCTTGACTGCTAGCAATGTAGAAGGGCGGTACTATTCCTAGGCAGGTATATCTGGGCTGCATTAGAAAGGGAGTCAAGAATGAATCTGGGAACAAGCCAGTAAGCAAATTTTCTTCAGGGTTTCTGTCACGCTCCTGCCTTGATGTCCCCTGCTAGACTGTAACCTATAAGACGAAATAAACTCCTTTGTCCTCAAGTTACTTTTGCTCAGCGTTGCATTACAGCAAACTACTACAGTCATAAACTACTTTAATGATTGTCTAGATGTGAGGTTAATCTACCCAAAGCCTGATGTCCTTGTTCAGTCCCCTTCAAAGTAAAATATTCTGATACAAGAAACACAAATACTTAAATAAATGTGGGGACACAGCTTAGAAATAATATAATAATAAGCATTAAGAAACTTAACAACATTCAACTGACCTCAGTGAGACAAACCTTGATTAAAACCATGAAGGTGGAACACTGATAACATGAAGTGCCAGGCTGTTAAATGATAGTTTAAAAAAAATCATTAAATAAAAATAAAAGAAAAAAACAAAAACCTTGGAAGGGGCTGGCAAGATGGCTCAGTGGGAATGACATTGGCAGCCAAGTCTTATGACCTGAAATTAATCCCTTAAAATCACATGGTGGGAGGGAGACTTGATACTCCAAAGTTGTTCTCTGACCTCCATGCATGTGCTGTGGCACAGGTGCGCACCATCATACATACACCTACAATAAGTAAATGTAAAAAGTCCAAAATGAAACAAACAATTCAAAAAAACAAATCAACCCACAAAAACAAACTTTTACACCAACAAGAAAAAGATCAATATTAATAGAGAAACAGACAATGGGCAGTAAGTTCACAACTAGGGAATAAATAGCATTTAAATATATAAAGATATTCAATCTTGATCATGATTTTTAAAAATTAAAAATCAATGTATGTTGGGCTCTGTTTCGAGACAGAGATAACTTTGGCTTTGAATTTATAAACCTCCTGCCAGAGTGTCTAAAGTGCTAGGAATACAAGCATGTGGCACACCTCTGTACCCAGCTTTTTAAAGTTAGTGGCATCCTAATGAGAGATCAGTGGTATGTCACTGTGTCTTAGGTTTGTTTCTAATTGTTGTGATAAAATACATAGACCAAAGCAATGTAAAGGAGAAGGGGTTTGTTTTAGCTCACAGCGCCGGGTCCACAATACACAATAGAAGTACACAATAGAAGAAAAGTCACAGCTGCAGGAGCTTGAAGCAGCCAGCTATTTACATCAAATCCAGGGTCAAGAGCAAACAGCAATAAAATATGCATTCATGTTTGTGCTTTGCTCATTTTCTCCTTTTAATACAGTCCAGAACCCTTGCCACATACTTTTAGGCACTTCCTTCCCATATCAATTAACATACTCTAGAAAATCTCACAAAGACACGCCCACAAGCCAACTTAAGACAGTTCCTCATTGGAACGCCTTTCCCAGATGATTCTAGGTTGTATCAAGTTGACAATTAACACTAACCAACACACACTGCATTTTATTGCTGATTAATATTCCAGTCCATAGATGTGTCCCTTTTGGATGGTTAGGTTATTCTGCTCTTTATGAATAATAATGCTATAAACATCTAAGAACAAATTTTTGTGTATACAAATGCTTTCAAGCCTTGAGTACATTTTGAAAACAAGTATTATAAACTCTCCTGTTTTACTTTGTGTGCATACTTGTGTATGCAAGTGTTCACACATGCTCCCATGTATGTAGGTGTGTGTACCTCTGTGTCTGCATGAGCATGTGTGCTGGAACAGGAGTATGTATGTATGTATGTGAAGACTAGAGGACACTCTTGGATATTGTTCCTTAGCAGCCATGCACCTTTTCTGAGACTGAGTCTCTCACAAGGATTTTTTGATTTAATGATCTTTTTACAGTGAACGCTATCATTTAACAGCCTGGTACTACATGTTGTCAGTGTTCCACCTTCATGGTTTTAATCAAGACCCTAAGTCCTGTCTCACTGAGGTCATTCGAGTGTTAAGTTTCTCAATGCTTATTATTATATTATTCCTAAGCTGTGTCCCCACATTTATTTAAGTATTTGTGTTTCTTGTATCAGAATATTTTACTTTGAAGGAGAACTGAACAAGGACCAAATTCTGCCCCAGTTTGGTCAATATATGTTCATAATCTAGAAAAAGTTCACCAGAAAAAGATTATGTGATTGTCAGATTAGACTTGACACAGCATCTACTGAATCTTAGCTAGTGGTACTAGTATTTTTTTTTTCTTTAAAATTATACATAGATCTTTAATGTCACCATGTCTTTTTTTTTCCTTTTTTTTTAATTTCTTTTTTTTTTTTGAACATGAAATGCTTTTTTATAGCATGTTTTACAAGGGGAGGGGGTAAGAGGGTCCATGTGGTGGAAAAGTACAAAATCTTCTTGGCCTGTGCCTTGAAACATGTCATGGTCTATATGGTACACTGCCTTTAATTATGATCTACCTGCAGTTCTTCAGAAGATATAGTATTTTTTTTTAACTGTGGCAACTATAATTTCCAAAATTGCTCTCTCTCTTTTTTTTCTTTTTGTATGAATGGTATCTCTAATCATGTCACACTAGAGTCTGTGTGTGGGTACATGGGTGCACGTGGAGGGCAGAAATCAATGTTCGGTGTTCTTATCAATCATTCAACACCTTACTTTTTAAAAATTATTCCATTTTATTGGATGCACATAAGTATGTCATTGTGTTGACACTGAGGTCAGAGGACACTTGTAGGAGTAATCTCTCTCTTTCTACCATGTGGGTCCTAGGGATCAAACTCAGGTCATCAGGTATGGAAGTAAGTGCCTTTATCCACTAAGCCACCTTGCTGACTCTCCACTTTATTTTTTGAAACAAGGCCAGTAAGTCACAAGGCTCCTCCTGTCTCTGCTTCCTCGATATTGAGATTATAAACATGCACTGCTGTGTTCAGCTTTTTCACAGAGTTCCTGTAATATCAAACTCCAGTCGGCATTATGTATGGCAAGCACTAGATAACGTTCTATTTTAATGTCTATTGTGTACTTATTAACGCAACAAGCCCTGTTATATGCAATTCCTACGTAAAAATTCAATTTGTCTCTTTAACCTCAAGATTGGTACTATTTGATATCTTTACAGGTTGCTCTCTTCAATATAAAATATGATTTATTCACTTAGGTAAATCTAGTTCATGGTGTTGACTTTCCTCAAATGTTGGTGTCTGTTAGTCAAATACTTATTTTTATTTGAATTTCTCTGTAAGATCTGTGTGTGTGTGTGTGTGTGTGTGTGTGTAAACACTTCCCATCTTTGGTGTAAAGACAGAATACATACTCTGACTCTCAATAGCTGGTGAGGACTTTCTATGCTGTTGCTTGGCTTTAAGAACTAGTGTCCACGTTTATCTAGTTCCTGGCTCACTGAGACGTGAGCAACTCTGCCCTGCTCCACTGCACCCCCAACCCTCCATGGTGCTGAACTAGTCCCTCATGGACTGTAAGCTGAAATAACTGTTCACTTCAGTGTTTCTGTCAGGTATTTTGTCACAGCAATACAAAAATAATGAATCCCAAGGGAAAACTTCTAGTGTCGCCCTAATGTACTGTCTAGTTTGAAGGATTTACCGTAAGCATTTAAGGTAAATCTAGTGGTAATGAACTCCCTCAGCTGTCATTTACTTCAAATGAGAATACCTTAACCTCCACCTTGGCACCTTATTTTGTTTTGTGAGACTAAATCTCACTATGTAGCCAGCTTGGCTTTATCTCCCAATCCTCCAGTTTCAGCCTCCAAAGTTCTGAGACAATGGGTGTCATACTTGGCATTACCTCACATTTGAAGTAATTCTGCTGGATAGAGAATCTGTCTGTCACTGTGGTTTTCTTCTAGTATTTTAACTATATTACTCCACTGCTTCTGGCTTGCAAGTTTTCTAACAAGATTACTCCTACCTATTACACTGATGATCTCTGCACCTACTGAGTCATTTATCTCTCACTTCTTTCAGGATTCTCTTTGTTTGCCAACAGTTGTTTTTCCAGACAGGGTCACTCTGTTAACAGGCTTTCCTGGAACTTGCTTTGTAGACTACGCTGGCCTCAAACTGACAGAGATCTCGCTTGTCTCTGCCTCCCAAGTGCTAGGATTCAATGTGTATGCCACCGATGCCACCACCCTGTTTGCTAACATTTTTTAACCACCCAGATGTTTCTTCAAATTTGGGGGGCTTTGGGCTATTAACTTCTTCAAATAATATCTTTATCCCTTCTCTTCTCTCCAACTTCTGGAGATATTCCTCTGGCTTGATTTTTCTAATAATCCTTAAGATTTCCTGAATGTTGTTAATGACATGCACATACCAGCACAGATACACTATGTGCTGTTAAAAATAACCAAAAGTGAAAAAAGAAGCAAATCTATTCTTGAAAAAAAGAAAATCTACAGTAGGTGAGACTTTTAATTTTCTAGGTTTTTTTTTTTTTTTTTTTTTTTGCCAACAGCAAATCCTGTTTATGAGGCAGGTAATGTGCTTGAGATGTCAGAAGACAGAAAGGCAGAACCATAGATAACTGAAGGTGAGTATTAAAAGGGAGAAATCAGTGAGATGCTAAGTTCCAAACAAGCGTAGACTTACAAGCCACATGGACTTTTGCCAAGAGATTATATATAAGTGTATAGAAAGATCCAAGAGTGCCCCAACAACAAAAAACCCAAACAAACAAAACACCAAACCAAACCAAAACAACAACAAAAACCAGCCAGAAACTTTTAAAAAAGGAGTAGAGACCCAGCAAAATGGCTTAGTGAATAAAGGCACCACGAAATCTGACCACCCAAGGTAGATCCC